GAATTGCAAGGATGATCAGCGGTACTCATATTTTTGACCAAAGTTCAGGGATTGCACTTCAAAGACAGGCAGGTTTCTGATCCCAAACTGCTGCCTAGGTTCTTTATCCAAAGTACTTTGTGCATAAGGCTTTGTGCAGAAGCCAAAATGTTATTTTAAACTTGTGTCTGTTATTACTGCTATATCTCATAAAGACTAACTCCTTTGGGGCTTTATTATTTATGTTAAATACATGTTGTTTTGCATATGCAACTAATGAGGAAAATGATATAAGACTAGAGATATTTTGTAACCTTCTGACCAAATTCCATAAAGCCCACAAACTCGGTGAAAATATTAATAGCTGACATTTATACAGATTCATGTGACATGCACATCTCAACTGGGAAATAAGAACAAAAAGATGTCTAAATACAATGAGAATACAATCAACTTTTTCCCTAAGTTCTTTGTCTCGACATTACTGCTAATGCTCAATGCCAGATATCCCACTAATCAGTGTAACAGCACGTTAATCTCCTGTTGTCCTCTTTAATTCTCGGAGTTACTTTAGTGTCTTTTTGGCATCCCTAGGCAGGTATTCATTTTCTAACCAAAAGGTGGCTGCTTCTTTCTGGTTAAAGCAGCAGGAAGTACTGTGCTTGTGTGCACAAAGGCAAGGTACCTTTGCCTAGGGATGCATTGCATCCCCCAGCCCACAGCAGAGGAACCAGGGCAGCTCAGAAAAGTCAGCTGAAGTTTAGATAAACCTTCATCTTTTCATTTGCTATAATAGTTTTTAACCATAGTTAAATGTTTTCATTAAAGTATAATTGAAGTGAAATGCAAGGACTGATTTAAAATATGCAATTTTATATTCTCTGTATTAAGGAGCACATCTTTGTTTCCTTTATCTTTGTTGGTTATAATAGTACTGTCCCAGTAACTTCCATGTTTACTGGGAAGAAGGAAGTTGTAGAATAATCTATTTTGGAATAGTCCATGCTATGTTTTATTTTGCTCTGAGCACACTAATGGAACTGAGAGCACAGTAGGGCTATGTCTAGACTGCAGGCTTCTTTCGAAAGAGCCTCTTTCAAAAGATCGCGTCTAGGCTGCAGGCGGATCTTTCGAAAGAGAAATCCGCTTTTTCGAAAGAGATCACCCAGCGAGTCTGGATGCTCTCTTTCGAAGACGGCCTCTTTACATTGAAGAACGCCTTCTTTCGAAAGAGGAACTTTCTAAAGAAGGCGTTCTTCCTCGTGAAACGAGGTTTACCGCCATCGAAAGAAAAGCCGCGTTCTTTTTAAATAATTTCGAAAGAACGCAGCTTGAGTCTGGACGCAGGGGAAGTTTTTTTCGGGAAAAGGCTACTTTTCCCGAAAAAACCCCTGAGTCTGGACACGGCCTATGAGAAAACACCTGTCAGTCAATCTTCAGCAGCACTATTTGTAGAACTTTATCCCATGAGATGCGGAGTAGCCTGAGTTTCTACTGTTGTCAGTGTAATCAGTCCAGATTGAGCCCATAATGAATACTTGCTTAATTTGTTGATTTTAGTAACGTTGGAATTAATGGAATGACATTTGGATTCAGTTAGAAATATTGCCAATAACTTTTCCATAAGTATGCATGTATATTATAGGTATGTGTTATATGGTGCATTCTATTCACAAGATATGAAAACTTATCAAAATTCACTTTTAAGGAAGTAATTAGAAAAAAGGCTGAGGTTTTAATGGCTAGACGGATATATGATTCCTATGCCTTGTTTTTTTCCTTTTTAACTAATATGGAATTGGAATTTTTTTCCTTTAAAAATGTATTTCTGTCAGTCTAGAAAAATCCAAGAATAAAGTCTAGCTATTAGAAATGGAAAAGATCTAGCAGACAGTCTAGTCTACCTGTTACCCTTGTATCAGTCATGGGATTATCCTTGTGGAATATTGTGTTCCTATCTGTCCTCCTTTTGAATATTCACAGAGGTGGAACTTCCACAAATAATCTCGTTAGGATATTCAAATACTTTGAAGATGAAAAGTGGTTAATAAAATGTTAATAACCACTTCAAAGTATTTTACAAACATTAATTTATGTTTGCTACCTATGTGCCCCTATGGTTTAAACATAAATCAAACTTTTTTATATATTCTTTTGTGGAAGAGCTCTTTTAGAAAAATTGCAATTGTTTATGTTTATTACTTTTTTAGACAACTAGTCTACCACATTGTCCTGTGCTGTATGATCATATAAGGAAAGACACCTTAGAAACAGTGCATATGCACAAAGAACCATAGATAAAGCTGCTTTGAACATTTTAGCTCTGAATTTCTTTACATATGTGCAATTCTCATCACAACCTTAACATGGTAGAAACAAAAGACAGGACTATGCAGCACTTTGAAGACTAACAAGAAGGTTTATTAGGTGATGAGCTTTCGTGGGCCAGACCCACTTCCTCAGATATGAGGATTATGTTTAAACCGTAGGGGCACATAGGTAGCAAACATATCTGAGGAAGTGGGTCTGGCCCACGAAAGCTCATCACCTAATAAACCATCTTGTTAGTCTTCAAAGTGCTGCATAGTCCTGTCTTTTGTTTCAGCTAGACCAGACTAACATGGCTGCATCTCTATCACTATTTAACATGGTAGACACTTTCTTAACACAGAGTAGTTGTTAATGAACTGATAATAGGTATACAGGATTCTGATGCAGAAAGGTTTTGTGATATTGTGCAGTTTCTTAGAGGATAGACCAGAGTACGGGGTATGAATTGAAAGAATTTAGTTCTGAGTAACTTGCAATTAAAATTATTCCAAGATAGAACCTTAATTACTTGAGCTTTTGTAGTGTTTTGTAGTGTTTTGTGGTGTTTATCATGCAGAAAGATCCCGTTACTTTACAAACTGACTTCTAAACATAGCAGCCCTTTCCTACAAATGCCCCTAACTCTAACTGAAGTCAAAGGCAAGTGAAATGAGTTGGCCTTGTTCCCTACCAATGATTTGGTATGTGAAGGGAACAGAAACTGAGTAATTGGGATTATGCAATGTTAGTTCAGTCAGATTTCACAAAATATTACAGATGGCAGGTTGAATTTGTGATTTGATATCAAAAGAGAGCAGGCTGATAGACCTGATAGATAGCAAGCCTAGATCATGCTAATTATCTTACCCATTACAAGGATAGCTTCCCCAATTATCACCTCTAATATCATTATCTCATAGACATTAACCTCCCCCTCCCCATGCTCCCTCTGTTCTAAAATCTGATTTGTCTATTTTATATGTGTTCACTTTTTTTTATTGTATCCCTTTGGTATATATGGTCATGCCAATTTTCTTCCACAATTTGATCTGAGGAAGTGGGTCTGGCCCACGAAAGCTCATCACCTACTAAACCATCTTGTTAGTTTTTAAAGTGCTGCATAATCCTATATTTTAAACTCAGCAAAGGGCTTGTGGTTTGTGGTACCAGGCCCCTCCGCTACTGCATTGCCTGGCAGCCATCTACGATTGCTGCGGCTACGTGACATAGATCCCTTTCAATAGCCACAGCAGCCTTAGTCAGGAGTAGGGGTTACCAGGGCAATATAAAGCCATGAGTCAGCGACCAGGGAGCTTGCGAACAGGAGCAGCAAACAGGTAGTTTTGAGAGGGAGTTTAGAGGGGAAGGTTAGAGGGTGCTAGTGAAACCTGGTAGAATGAGGAAAATCTGTGGGACACAGTGATACCGAGATATAAAATATATCGGAAGGATAGAGCAGGCCATGTGGGTGGCGGAGTGGCACTGTATGTGAAAGATAATGTAGAATCAAATGAAATAAAAATATTAAATGAATCAACATGTTCAATAGAATCGGTATGGATAGGAATTCCATGCTCCAATAATAATAATTTAGCAGTAGGGATATATTATCGACCACCTGACCAGGACAGCAATACTGACATTGAAATGCTGAGGGAGATTAGAGAGGCTACCAAAATAAAGAACTCTATAATAATGGGAGATTTTAATTATCCCCATATTGACTAGATTCATGTCACCTCAGGAAGAGAAGCAGAGATAAAATTTC